CGAAGGTTTTACAACCCGGAGGAAGAACAACCAATTCCAAGTGTGATTCTTTAAGATATAATCTACTTCACTCTCGATAGCCTCTCTCGGGTTGGTCCACCTGTAGAAGTCACCACTTCTACATATGTTCGAGGCTCATTTTCTAACAACCATGTTAGAAAATCCAATTTCTTTTCTAGTAAACAAGTTAGATTGTGCGCATCACACTCTAACATGTACGTTAGAAAATATGGACCAAAGGATTTTTCAATCTTAGCTCTCTTGCTACGTCTAGCTTTGAGCTCGGGTTCTCTTTCATACCCTTCAATCATAGCTACGCCGAAAGTTCCTTTCAACGTGTTAGGTCCTTTATTGATCCTTCACAAAAATACATCTTCCAAGAACGATGAATTTCTTGAATCAATCTTTCGTGTTCTTATGTACATCCAAACTCTTGGACTCGTGCACTAAGAACCAATACACACCTTTGGCAAGACACCCCCACATTTCGGGCATTAGTAGGAAACTTCCTACGTACCCACAATTCGTAAGAATTTCATGTACACAACCTTATTTAAAAGGTATTTACTTGTCCAAAGTATTGTCTCACCCCTCATACTTTGAGGTAGACCCGAACTTATCAACGTCTTGATATTTTATGTTCGGCAACAACGTTCGATTGAGGTGAATACCGTGTCGTACTCTCGAGTACAATACCAACGCTTGCGCAGAAATCACCAATAGGTGTTTCATGCTCACCCCATCAATCACTCGTAACCGCATTAATCCACGATTAATTTGGTTTTTCTCTTTTATTCTAAAAAGAATAAACATGTGCTACACATTAGCACATCTCGTTAGTGCGAACAGATCAGCACTTACGAATCCATTCGGTTTTGACCGAAAGGCCACAAACCCGAAACAATGCTTCCGAAATTGAAGCATGAATCAGTGCTTAGTAGTGAAGCACGAAACATGCTATACCAAGCACGAATCATTGCTTCTAAACTAACGCACCGATTCCAAAGCAATCTCTATTGCTTTAAAACTCACAGCAACATTCGGTTGCTTAATTTATAATTCCAGTGCTACCTAGCACAAGGATTATTAGTTAATTACACAATTAACCAAAACCTCCTTTCGTGCTAATCACATAACACTTTTACAACGCTAAATTTAATTAGCCACATACGAAAGGTTTAAGCTAAGTAGATTAGCATTAAGACCAATCATAATCTAGCACCTTTATTGCTATTACCAAGCACCAAATGCTTAAGTTTTCAACACCTAAAGGTGCAGCCACCAAGTGGCCGAAAATACCTAATTAGGCACTCTCCCTAGTGCTTAATAGCACTATTACAGTGTTTTAATTTTCACTTCAAAGTGCCAAATTAAATTGCACTATCCATTAGTGCTACAAAAGCACTATTCACCAAAACACAATTTGTCTCAAATTAAATATACTAGTATAATTCGGAATTTTTGATCAAGTTAATTATAACACAATTAACAAAACCAAATCAACCAAATTTCCAAAACTAGTTGAACCAAACTCATATAATCGTTCTTAGAATATTATATAAAATATTCAACAGTTGAGCTGTGACGCTCACGATTATATAGTTATCCCAATTTTTGACAAATTGATCCTATTTTGAAATCTGTATCGTTCAACATGAACTAGAACCGAAGTCCTTTTACGGGATTTCAAACATGTAACGTGCTTGTTACATTCCGTTCCGGCCGTTAAGTCATTTTAGCATTTTCCAGATAATGCTCCGTGATGCACCACGCACCCATATTGAACCTTTTATATATTAAAAATATTACACAAGAATATTTCAAAATATACAAAGTTCATAACACACAAATGGAACAATTCATTTTATTCAACAATAAAATATATCACAAGGATACTACAACATTTATTTAACAAATAAATAAATAGGAAAAATTACATTGGAAACCAATTTCCATTATTCCTATGTAGTAGTCCTTCGAACCGGTGTGCCTTATTCCACTTTCAACCATCCACTCCACAGCGGGTGGTCCATAGCGCACATCGGGGGTACCTCGGTTGTGACCTCACTCGTCCAACCATCCACATGTTTTGAACATGGCGAAATTGTCCTCAACCTTTTCACCAGGATGACGATTCGCATCATAGTGGCATTTCTCCTTCTTCTCATAATCTTCTTGAAAGCTAAGCTTCCGCTTGAGTTTTCTTCGATTACGGTTGAAGTCATTTGTAACACTACCATAGTCCTCGGACCATGTAGTCATTACACCATCATAGGATCCTTCATGGCTTTTAGCCGATCCACTAGACAACACAATAGGTACCAATTGTGTGTCACCAGCCACAGGTCTACCGGTTCGTGAACCAAAGTTCTCCGGAGCACCATCGTGTGTTTTTGCAACTACCATGGAAATAACATTTCCAACGTTGCCGCCATCAACTGGCATCACGGAATGTGCAACTTCGTTGCCTTTCCGACTATTTGAATGTGCACCTCCGGCAACATTCACGGATCCAATACTCTTGGAATCCACCACTTCTTCATTATCAAAAAATAAGGTTTTAAGATTGTTGGAGATAATGAACCACAATCGATTTAATATCCCAAAAATAATATTTATATATACACACACAAGTATATAAAATATTATTGGATATTTACCCGAAATATATATACACACACAAATATATATAAACGGATCCGAAGGTTATATATACATGTATATCTACGAAAAAGATATACCAATATATATTAACCAAAATTGAAACAAATAATCCTCGGATTATAAGTCCAATCCAACTAATATATCAAAAGAGAGAGAACGGATTTTTGCTTAAAAGCATAATCCAAACGAGAAAGAAGGAGAAGAAGAAGGAAATGTACGAGTTAGGCAAGGTGCCTGTCTTTCCTTAAAACCTTATTTGCCACCTCCCAAAAGTGCTAGGAGCGTTGTGGCCTAGGTTTCCCAGGATAAAACGTACAACGGTTCAACGTTTGAGCACCCAAACGAACGAACCCGGCGAACAAGAGCACGGGCAAAACACAGATTCAAGAATGGAGTAGGAGCAGAATTTTTGAGAAGAAAAAGTGCTTATCTTTGTGTGTTGTGTACTCTCGTGTTCTTCCCTCACTAGTTGTCTCTCGCTATGCAGGTGAAAAGCCTCTACTCCCACTACACTCTTATATAGGAGGTTGGTACTTAATAGCATTATTATGACACATTAACCAACATAAATTCAATTTAAAAATTGAATTATAACGTTTAAAACGGTCGTACTTATTATCAAAATAATATCAACGGTCACGAACTTAATATCCGATTAATTCGTACCGACCATAACGTCCCGTTTCAAATATCTGAGTGACCGAGAAGTCCGTACAAACCCGAAAGGTTAACGAATTGGGACCGAAAACCACACCCGAATGGTCCACAAAGTACCGAAACGGTGTGGCACGAATCAATGCACATAGCATTGACTCGTGCAGCACGAAAGATAGCTCACACGAAAGGAGCTTAATTCACTAATTAAACTTGCTTAATTACATGTAGCATCTTTCGTCCATGCATAACATTCGTCCATGCAAACTTTCGTCCCAATTCCTATTTCACTGTTTTAAGCTTTCCAAAGCTTAATCACAAGCTTGACAACTCATGTTGTCACACTAATTAAGCTTAATTTTAAGCTTTAAGCTTTCTAAGCTTAATTTGACTTCTCTCAAATAGGTTCACTTTGAGAATCAATTTCTCATTCACCTATTATCCATTTTGAGCGTACATTATATCAAATTCTTCGTCTCACTACGAAGAACCCGAATTCACCTTGACCCGACCCAAATCGGAAGTGGATCCCACATATATTTGTACCACAAAATAATTACTCAAAATATCATTTTAATGCTATTTTTTCCAACAAGAACTTCTCGTAGTTCGCACGTTCTTCAATATCGTCAAGGTGATATAGGTTTCCATGGAATGCAACAAAATTGCTTGTCTGTTGTTCATCATTGTCTGAATCTTCAAGATCACTCCAGGTAAGTGTATAGGATTTCTTTCCTTTATGGTTTCCACAATCTGCTTGCATGTGTCCATAGCCTCCACACTCATAGCACTGGAAACCCTTGAGTTTAAAATCTCGACTTGGACCTTTTGGCTTCTGAACATTTCTAGTTCCATCTCCTATGTTACTCGTTTTCATCTTACCTTCTCCTTTGGCTTTCTTCAACATTTTACCAAATTTCTTTGACAGCATAGCCATGACCTCATCCATTTCTATATTTGAGTCAGCTCTTGTAGGTACCGCAGCGCCAAATGCTACTCCTTTGTTGTCCTTGTTCAGATACCTGTCTTCCTCTTCCATTTCTAACTCAAAAGTCTGCAAATTTCCCATTAGAGCATCTAGAGTTAGAGATTTTAGATCTGCTGATTGCTTGATTGCAACAGATTGCATTTTTTATAAACATTATTTTTATTGTTATTTTAAATAATCTTTTTATAGTTAATTTGTAATAATTGATTAAGTTTATAGCTATTTTGTTTATTATTGTTATTAGTAGCTTTGTTAATATTATTTATTTTTTGGTTGTTTTTGTTATTAAAATTTATCAGTCAATAATTTCTTAATCTCAATTTAATAAGTTTTATTATTATTATTATTATTATTATTATTATTAGTTAATAAAATGGTATCAACCCAACATTTGGAGTCCATCAAATTCCTTCTTTCCCTCCATCGCAATCGACGTACGAGAGAAGCCCGATGTGCGAATCAGAACCTTCTATTTCGGCAGCGGGATCGTTTGGCAAGGTCCGATTCAATAGGGAGATCCGATTGAACAGCCAAAGAGGAGTCAGAGATGCCCTGCCAGTCAACGACGAACAGAGCGAGAGAGCTGCAGAGGATTGATCGGCATTGGAATGAGTAGACGGTGGAGGTCCGAACAGAAGGTTATTCTTCATGGCTTCTCCTTGATCCTAGGGCAATAGCGTGACTGATTTTGGGGATGAAATTTGGAGGTAGGTTGGAGCTGGAGTAGTATAAAAGATGTGCGTTTGGACGAGGATAGGATCATCAATTCACCCCGAACCGTTTCTGGTTTGGCGTCGGCGGCGTCTGGCAGTTTCTCCGGTCGGCAACAACTCTTCAGCAAATTCCACAGAGAATTGTTTCCTGGCACAGCTTTAGAGTCCTTTAACATAAGAAGTCTTCTTTTCTTTTATAAATTTAATTTTGCTATTCTTAAATTTCTTTTGCTACAATTCCAATATAGTGAGATACTATTTAGCTTTTAAACCTTAACAATTAATTTGCTATGTCAGTTTGCTAAGCTATTTGCTTAATTCTTCCAACTTTAGGTTGTTAGCTTTATTATAATTGCTTGCTTTTAATCTGCTAAGCTTTATTTTATTTGATTTTAAGAGTTGATATTTTAATGATGGGTTGTATTAGACTTTAGGTGCAGAATCGATAGTGGTATTGAGTTCGTGTCCTCAGGTTTTTTTCCAATTCTGATTATTTAGTACTGGTTATTGGTAAATTACTTGTTCGCTTTCTTAAGTTTTGATTCACTTATTCATTTGTTTAGCTTCAATTTTAATTATTTTGCATTCTTATTATTGGCAATTGTTTTTAGTTATTGAGTTAATTAATTTTAAGTTATTAAATTACATTGTTACAATTCCATGTGGGTTCGACCCTTGCTATTGCACGCTATCACTACAACTGACTCGTGCACATGCAATGACAAAATATTAAAATTGTCCATCAATTTTGAACTTCGGAGGCAGGGATCTCAGAACTTTACGAACCAGTTTCTTCATCAAATGGTTCACCCAAGTTCTATGCGCTATTTGCAAGGTTCTTTATCCTTGCATTAAACTCAGAGACTGACCCAGTTTCTTCCATCATTAGACTCTCATACTTGGTCATGAGCAATTGCAACTTTGAGAATTTGACAGATCTTCATCAAATGGTTCACCCAAGTTCTATGCGCTATTTGCAAGGTTCTTTATCCTTGCACTAAACTCAGAGACTGACCCAGTTTCTTCCACTCTTATACTTGGTCATGAGCAATTGCAACTTTGAGAATTTGACAGATCTTCATAGTGAGTCATAAGTGCATCACATGCAAATTTTGCAATATCTGTGCTGAAATCAACTGGATTTGACCTTCTCCAAGAACACTATGAATCGCATTCATAGCTCTATTGTTGATGTTTGCTTCTTCTCGTCTGGTGTCCATTGAGCCAGTGGTTTTTTCTTCTCTTCATTTTCAACCGTCATTGTAACACCCCGTGTTACGGCCACTAACACAAACTAATTATTTAATTGCTTACCATTAAAAGAGAATTGAATTTCCTTAATTAATTGAGAAAGGTCCACCATGGATCATGGACCCTTATCCCTAAACCAAACCCTTAGTCTTATAAGGAATTGAATAAGTAAATCCCTACCATTCAGACACTAGTTAGAACTCTTAAGTATATATAAGGACCTAGGAGGCACCTAGAAATCACACCACAATAGATTCCACCACACTAATTCTCAGGAATTCCCCTAGCACCAAACGTAGGAGAAATCACGAAGAGGAGATCTTAGAGAAAGAACCTTAGTAGACAAGGATTCTAATTAAGGCTAAGAGGTAACCCATGTTTCAACAAAACCTATTTTCCTTGTTATAATCTTCTTCATTGGCTCCTTTGATTTGTGATTCTATGCTTGTGTCTTGATAAGGCTTTGCCTAAGATTGATATGATGATTATGGGATAATCTTGATGTTTATGAGATGATCTTGATGTTTATGTGTTGATCTTGATGCTTATGTGATAATCTTGATGTTCTTGATTCCAAGATAAATTATATAAATGATCTTGTGTTTTAATTATGATTAGTGCCCTAGGATCAAAACGTGGATTTCGTATTGTAATATTCTTGATATGTTTGGGTGGGAGTTTGAATGTTCGGGTATTGAGTCTTGGCATGTTTAGGAGTCGTGTTAGGATGTATTTAATGTGATTCTTGGTTTTAATCCTTTACTTGATTATGTGGTGTCATCGTTTGTATTTAAATGTGTCTGGACATGGTTTCGAGTTCCACAAGGGATCCCGGAACCGAATTATTACATAAGAGTCAGTGGAGGCAGGTGGGGGCAGGGGTAACCGCCACCTACCCGCTGCCCCATGAGAACGCCTGACAGCGGGCAGGCGATCGCCCGCAGGGCACCGGCTGCCTCGTGGACTGCCGCTGGCGGGTGGCCCTCCACCCGCCGCCCACCCGCTGGAATTCCGGTGTGGAACATGGTGGTTTTCCCCGTTTGATGTTTCCCCGTGTCCCGTGGTGTCCCATTTGACCCCTCTTGTCGTGCTTGAGTCTAGTTTGATGTATCGGGTACCGTTCGTAGGATAAAAGAGTCTTGTGTATTGCATGCTAGTCGAATTGGTATCCCATTGGCCTAGGAGAAAGGTGCATGAACCCTATGGCGTATCTCTAGTAATGTGGTTGACCACGCATAAGTATATATGTATGATTCCCCCCTCATTATGTGTTAATGTGGGTTGCATGTGCTTGGCTATGTGTTATTTGTGCATGATACCCCAATTGGTTGCGATCAATTGGCTATACAGGCAGTTGGATGGGTTGGGAACCATCGGCTGTTAACCCGGCTGGTTGCGATCGGTCTGTTATATATATATATTGGGCTGCGGTCCATAATATGGTTGCGATCAGATATACATACTATTCGGCCTGCGGTCCACTGTTTGGTTGCGATCAAACGTTATAAATGAGTTGCGGTTCACCGATTGGTTGCGATCAATCTCCTTGTGCTGCGGTACAGGCAAGGTGCTTCGAGGCCATGTCAGAGCTATATGTGCTGGCACTTCGTGTATGGGCGCGTGAAAGGTCCTGCGACACCACCAAATGTGTATACGTGATTGAAATAATGATTGAATACTGATATGATTGATGTGAAATATCTTGTGACCTTAGGGTGTATGCTAGTATCTTTATATGCGTGATTATATCTGATGAATGTGCCTCCCCTTACTTGTTGAGTCTACTCTCGATTTTAAGTTAGAGTCTCATAAGTATATATGTATTCCGGCTTCAAAATGGTTTTCATTATAATATATATATATATATATATATATATATATATATATATATATATATATATATATATATATATATATATATATATATACCTATATTGTATTTTAACGCGTTGGAGTGGGTTACCAACATTATTCGCTGAACAGATATATTTGGCTTTCAGGCACAGATGAGTAGCTCCGGAGCGCGCTAGTTGGACCCGAGGCTTAGCTAGTTTAGTTCCTTATCGGCCTGCGTGCCATGATGATGTACTTGACATTGACTTGAGGATTTATGATGTTTAGATAGTTTAGCCTGTGCATCTGAGTTCTCCAACTCAGATGTGGCATAGCACCCCAACAATTATGTTTAGTTATGTTCTATTTTGAGATTTAATTATAGTATTACCTTTATTTCATAAGCGTTCAAAATTAAAATTTTAGGGGTGTTACAGTCATCGTTGGTGGGGTCCAAGCATTTTCCACAGCATTGCAGCATTCTTCATCTAGATATTTTATAAAGACCTTCATTCTAGCCTTCCAATAGGCCTAGTTGCTCACTCATTTCAACAACGGTGGTCTTGTCATCGAAGCACCCTCTTCCATGCTGCAAAACAATACTCGAGTATCCCTAGGATCTCGCTAGCAAATTGAGCGATATTGCTCTAATACCAATTGTAAATATGTAATACAGATATGCAATGTTATATGTAAGAATAAATGAAGCGACAAACTACGTACACAACTAAATTTTTTAACGCAGTTGGAGAACACCTCCTAATCTGCGGGGCCGAGCCCAAAAACTTTTTCACACAAGATCAACCCACGGTTTTTACAATTACAAGGCTCAATGAATTACAAAACTAGGTCTACCACGTATTTATACATTGACCTTATAAAAACAACTCTATGAAAAAGTATACAATACAGTTTGAACTAATTCTACCAATTCAACAAATTGTAACCAACATGTATTTTAACACAGCTTGTACTGAATAAAGTGGAGCTGAATTCTCCGGATAGTACACCAATCCTTTCCAGTCTGAAGTTCCCTTGTAGCGTCTTTCGAATAATTCCAATTGTAGCACCTTCCAAAATAATATTGGCTTTTTTTATTTTTGGAAACTTCATTTTCCTTTCAATATTGTAACATTTATTTATAGTATTTTTCTACCTTGATTTGCGCTGCATGCAGGGGCGGAGGCAAAGGTATGCCAAGGGGGGCCTTAGCCCCCCCTCCAATTTTTTTTTAAAAAATATTAAATATAATATTAAATTCTTTAAAAAATATTATATAAAATATTAAAATTTTGTTGTTCCTTCAAAATATTTGGTCCCCCTCCCACTTAAATTAATCCTACAAGCTAAGTTATAAACTTCTCATCTTCTCAACATCTCCCGTTGTCTCCCATTTCAAATTATGTATTCACTATATATATATATATATATATATATATATATATATATATATATATATATATATATATATATATATATATATATATATATATATATATATATATATATATATATATATATATATATATATATTGTGACTCACATTCAAATTATTAAACCTCATTTAACATACCTACTAGTTTCTCTCTCTAGAACCATACATATATGCGGTATATACACTATAACAAGATAATTTGTCATTAAAATCTATGCATATTTTTCAAGTTAATTTCTGTTTTTCTTTTTTCTTTTTTCTTTTTTTTTTTTTTTTTTTTTTTTGTTTCTAACTACATGTTTGGTTAATTTTTGTTTCATATTCTATTGTTTATTTTAAATAGTGGGTTTGTTTTATTCTAAATAATGGATATGAAGGTGCATTTGTTTGGTTAATTATGCAGATTTGTGGTTACGTGATAAATGTTGTATTTAATTTAACATGCATAATAATGTAAAAATTGTGTAGTATATGTATTTAAGAAAAAAATTGCTATTATGTTATGTTGTGAAGATGGTAGTTTTCAAGAAATAATCAATAATCGTTTTAAAACATGCGTGAATGGTTTCATTTTTTCAACCGAACAAAACAATGTGCATTGAAAAACATATTACAAAATAATTTAATATAGATTCAATTATAAATTATTTATTCTAAACTTTATTAAATTTGTAATGTAATGATTATTTTGAAATATGTTAACTGGATATCAATGTATTTAATTTAGTATTTCAACTGTAATTGGTCCCCTGCACTATTCAATTCTGGCTCCGCCCCCGGCAGCATGTAACCCACGTAGTCCCATGATGCATTTCCTTAATCTTCTCCCATTCATTCATAATTAATCCACTCATTTACATTACCCACAACAATATCATCATGTCTTCATGCATTCCCTTACACATGCACACACGTACTAATTCATGCGTTTCCAATTGTTCATTTTCACACATTTTCCTTAATATTCTCCTTAATTCAATATTGTCCACACACATTATCAACACACCACACTCTCCACAATTTATTTGGAAATTTACATATGCCAACAAATATATTAATATGAGCGGGAGCCGATGCAGGGACCTATGAGCTAGAAAACACATTGAGGACTCAATTAGGTGGCTCAATAGAGATTGGAGGATTACCATTCAGGGTGTTTACCTCAAACAGAATAATGTGGCTAACCTTCTTGTAATGTTAGGTGTTGGCGGTTTACCAATATGTGGAATTAGCGGAAGTCGATGACTTTCCCTCAAGCATTAAGGAGGTTATCACCAATAACCAAATGGGTGTGTTCAGCTTGTGCAGAAGTGAGAGAGAGAGAGAGAGGGGCTAATCTCTCATCCTAAGGGTATCCTAGGAGTTAGAAAAATATCGATTAATCGACCTAATAAGTCAATTTTAGTTATTGATGGTAAATTTTTACATATAAAATTAAAAGGAATTTCCCCATTGCTGGATTTGCTATGGATTTCATATATTAAATTTTTAAAAGTATTTCATACAAAATTGTCATTGGCTTCAATTGTTTGAAAATGAATTGTGGACTGTGTTGTTACTTGTTACTGGGTTTGAAAATTAATTGTAGTGTCTAAACACTGTGTTGCCGACAATGTTTCATTATTATTTTATGTAAATTTTTGAGAAATAACCGTACTTTGATTGTATTGTTACTGACTTTGAGAAATAACCATGTTGTGTAATGGTTTATTATTATTTTATGTATCATTGTGTTTGAGAAATAACCATACTTTGTAATTGTTCGATTTTTCAATAACTGACATAACCTATCGAAACCGATGGTCGGTTAGATTGTGATTGTTTATTTCGGTCAATTATTAAGGTCAAAAATTATCATCTGTTATTCGGTCTGACCAATTGCTCACCCCTAGGGGTATCTCCATATCCTTATCGGAAAATATGTCATTTTATTGGAGAGGGAGGGAGGGAGGGAGAGAGAGAGAAAGAGAGAGAGTCAATATTGTTGACTTAAATTGGGTCGGGACCAATAGGCCAAACTTTAACAAGTGATTCAAACCCTCAATATCCGGCGAATTATGATGTGCATCCGTATGCACCATGGTGCATACGGATGCAAAAACGACGTCGTTTTAATAAAACGTGTGTCTCCCCTTAAAAAAAAAAAACAGGTTCGATTCCCAGCAACAACATATGAACTATAATTCCAGAATCGATGAACTATAATTCTATAATCGTTGAACTATAATTCCATAATCGTTGAACTATAATTTCATAATCGATGAACTATGATTCCAGAATCTAATTTATGAACTAAAAATTCCAGAATGAATGAACTAAAATTCTATAATATATGAACTAAAATTTCAGAATCGATGAACTACAATTCCATAATCGATGAACTATAATTCCAGAATCAATAAACTATAATTCCATAATCTATGAACTAAAATTCCATAATGAATGAACAACATAATGCTGTTGCTAGGAATCGAACCTGAATTTTTTTTTAAAGGGGAGACGCTCGTTTTTAATAAAACGACGTCGTTTTTGCATCCGTATGACCATGCATGATGCATACAGATGCACAGCATAACTATTCTCAATAATATCCTGCACCACGGTGCGCGTTGCATTGTGCGCCCAGATGCAAAACGACGTCGTTTCAATTTTATTTTATTTTATTTTTTTGAAATTTCGCTACCCAATGTTTGACAGTTAATTTTTCTTTAAAAAAAATTTCATGTTAAAAAATGTACATAATGTTAAACTAGAATACCCATAATTGTATACATGAATGTACATAATTATATAACAAAATACACATACTATTTTTTAAAAAATAATACACATAATCTAACATAGTACATAATAAACATAAACTTTTAATATAATACACATCAACTCTTAACATAATACACAAAAATTTCCTAATTCGGATGTACATAATTGTATAAAAAATGTACATAATTGCATAAAAAATGTACATAATAAAAAATATACATAATTGTACAAACAAATATACATAATCATGTCAACTTCATACCGCGCCTCCCAAAACGACCAAAACGATGTTGTTTTGGGAGGAGTTCTACTACATATATTCTCAAAATTCTACTCCCGCACTTATACTTTCTGAGGTGGTAAATCAGGATTGATTATTTTTATCATGTAGGTCCATAAAAAAATGTCTACATAAAAAATATGTGAGAGGAAATACAAATTGAGACTTTAAAATAGGAGTACACCAAGTATTTTCTTTTTGGGAGGCCGGGTATAACGATTGCTTGAACAGGGCTGAAAACGCCTAAAGCCCCAACGGAGTCAGCTACAGTGCAGCAAAATCTTTTCCCACTCCGGCGATCTTCCATGGCTCTGAGGAATGCAATAGAAGCAGCCACACTGCTGAGAAACCTTCGCTCTCAGAGTCTCTTCACGGTTCACAAGCTCCAAAACCCTATTGCCTCCATCCCATTTGATTTCATCGGATTTTGACCAAACACTACGCCTTTCAGTAATTTCTCGAAGACCGATTTCCATTTCCGATTTTTTCAGCACCAAAGTTGATACAGGTTCAGAAAATATCGATGTTAGCAGCCACCAGAAACAGAATAAGAAGCCATTGGACATTTTCTTCAAAGAGGCCGTTGGAATTCTCGAAACTCGTCGAGCCACGGAACATATAGAGGAGAATGATCATCTGAGGAGTGAGCTGATAAAGTTGGAAGAAGAAGTGAGAGTTTTGCAAGAGAAAAGAAAAAAGGAAATAGAGGAGACAAAGAAGGCTATAAGGGCTGATGAAGATACGGTGAATGATTCTAAGCCCAAGAGTTTGCATGAATTGTTTGCAAATGAGGTAACCAAAAATGGCAAGCCGTTAAAAACTTCACAGGCTTCAATAGAAGAGGATCTGATGGTTGGCAAGGGGCTATCCCCTGATATGGTTATGCTTGTGACTCACTTGTACGAGGAAGGGTACTTTAAAGATGCAAACTTTTTGCGGAAGAATAGGTTTGATATTACTTGCTTTGAGGATAGCTATGCCCGCCACTACATCAAGCATGCTGCCGAAGAGTTTGCAAATGATAATCAGGGGGTTGCTAAGTGAGAACTAAACTATATATATATATATATATATATTTTTTTTTTATATTTATGTGTCTGCATGATCTTGTGCTGCTGCTTATTATGTAGATTGTCTTGCCCTCAAGTCCCTTGACATTAGTTGAATATGTATTTTGTTGATAGCTGTAATGTATTTAACTATCCTTCAAGTTGATGTGCTGGAAGTCTTCAGTCTGTTAACTGTAAAATTAATTTTTATATATTTGTTTTTCACGCGATTTCTTTATGTTGAATGGTGGTATGCATACATAAATTTATTGCTCATTTGGTATTTGATTGAGCTGTTGAGCTGAAAGTTATCTTAGAATTGGAGTTAAATTTCACAGTCAGAGGACTTGAGCTTGAAGTACAACTAGGATTTAAGCCCATAACATTGGAAAATGATCAATTTTTAGATTCCCATGAAATTTGTACCAAGGAACAAATTTAACCAAAAAAGTTGGAAGTACCAGGCTAGAACTTAATGAGCTGAACAAACCAAGAAATGCAGTACTCCCATTTTCCAGAATCACTTTCTATTTTCTTATTCCCTCCTGTTCTCATTGATAAATTCAGAAAAATGATGGTACTTGTATTTTTTTTGAGTATTGTGGTCGAGTAATGATCTTCTTTTCATGGTTAAGGTTTTAGTCCCAATTATTTCAAGGATGAGCATTCGATGTTATGCATTTTTTTCATCATTTTGTTAAAGTTCACTTTGTTATGGCACAATTGGAGCAGTTTATGTTGTCTTGCTTGATACTCATTTTTGTGAATTGTTTGCTCAGATGGCTTTCTGCTAGTGACTTGAAGAAGGTGGCACTTTTTGGTTGTCCTTCTCTTGTGCAGAAACATGTATATTCTGCCAAAATCTTGTGAAATTTCTTCCGGATTCAGGAAGACACTGTGAGTCTACTTCATATTGGTTCCTTTCTAAACCACTTTCATTCCCTCGAGATCTGTTATATCATTTATAGAGCATACAATAACACACAAAAGTCCTTGGCCATTAAGCCATGGAAACGAATTCTTGCTTCATGTGATCGGAGTAGATGATTTGGGCGCCTATGCCTTGTACACTTGCTGTGACTCCTTTCTTTCATATCATTAATCGTGCTTTCAGACTTTCCCCTTGCTTGCTTAGTTGAGTTCTTATTTGCTCTTATGTCAGGTATGCGGAAAATGTGCTTTAAGAGACTCATGTAAGTTTGTGAATCAGCATATGTGGAATAGTAATGCCAAAACGCTTCAACTACATCACGTAATGAGGACTATCACTCTGTACGGCTTGGAATCAGTACCTACAGAGTTGGCCGTGCCAGAGGATATTAAGAAATCCGTGAGTCGGTTGCTCAAGGAGGTTGTAAAGCTTAGTAAAGTTTGTTGAGATTACTTCACAACCACATGACTTAGTTCTGCGTAGCTAGCCAAATATTATGTCCCCTAATCACATCCACCCACCCTGTTTTCCATTTGATTGTCTTAATCACATTAACAGGGGTGCAGAAATTATTTTCAATTTGTTACCAAAGTAAAGAGAGGATTTCTAATGTGCTGTCGTATATTGTCTCAGACTCTTTTGAAACAAGTTTCCATATGTCTTACCTACCTAAATAATCTATAGAGATTCCAAATAGTATATCTATATTCCATAACACAATTGAATGGAGCTTCCAACAAGGGCGGGATTGGTCGGTGAACTTACGATAGTTTGAAGCTAGCAAGGAGATGCTGGTTTGTTTCTCTGTATCTTCTGTTAAAGCAGATAGACGGAAGTGCTTATTGGTTGCTGGATTTTATTGAATGAACCGAGTATTAATGAGAACTTTGACAGAATCAGATTTGGACCGAGATTTTCTGATAGTATGTGACACTCTCTTCTCAAACACCATCTTTATATGCATAGTTTCTTTAAGTTAAATACAACATATATATGTATTAGACTATTAGCAGGGAGACCTGTGCTTTGAATGCAGTAGTGAATGAACTGTTTACTTTCTTTGATTGAATTATTCACTGCTTTGCTTTTGAACATTTGAGCAATTGACTCTGGGAACTGGAAGTCACTGAGCTTTACTTTAATCATTATATTTGATTGTTTCTGTATTTGAATTAAAGATTGGTAGAAAGAAGGGTGGCCTTTATTCTTGTACTTTGGAATACACTTTTAAGTTTTATCTACTTTTTTTACACTAAATTTTACCATGTTGTTTACATCCAAAAAAATGGCAGCCATTGATTAAAGAGGCACCTTTGGTAATGGAGAAAGCAGTGATGGTTGGGTCCAGTTGACCAGGTTTCATTACCAAAATTGAGGAAATCTTTGTAGCTTTGCTGCCTCATCATTGGACTTGGCTCTTTTCTTCTCAGGAAAATGACATATGGGCTCCCAGGAAATCGAATTTTCATCATGTGTCGTAATTTTATTTTTGGTTAAAAATAATCCTTGTTCACGCTGACTTGATCTAATTAAAGGGTGAAGTGTTAGGCATTAGGGATAGTAATTCAACCCAATTCTAATAGGAAAATCCAGTCCTCATTCTGATGACCTCAAACCCCGATCCCAAATTCTCAAAATACATATATATCTGTGTTTATATTTTTTTGAATGCAACTGAGGCTCGAACTCACAACCTTTTAAATGAAAGTTCAACTCGGGTATCATTAGACCACATAGTCTTAGTATACTTTGTGTTTATATAATTATATGTAAGAGTTAATTCCATTTTAGTCATATATTTATAGGTGGTAGTCCACTTTTAGTCATTTATTTTTTTATTTTTTTATTTTTATCGGAACATCTTCTTTTGGTTCTAATATTATTGTGACACAAATTGTGGTCCTCCATCAACAAAATCGTTGAAATGTCGTTAAATACAAGGGCATTTCGATCTTTTTAATACAAAGTGTGTTGACCCATTATATTTTTTACGTTTATTTTTTTTTAAAAAAAATCACAATTGAAGACCGAAATGCTCTTGTATTTAACATATTTAAACGGTTTTGTTGATAGAGGAAAAAAAATAGTCATGCCACAATAATACTAGAACAATATTAGGACCAAAGGATGATGTTTTGAAAAAAACAAGACTAAAAGTGAACTGTCACTTATAAATCCAGGACCAAAAATAGAATTAACTCTTATATGTAAATTTTTTTTTTCAATGCTACGAACTCTATTACAACTACTGAGTCTCGAATCCACTACCTCCCATATATGAGTCCAACCTTGTGGTCTTAGCATAATTTATTTGTCTACCATTTAATTTGGAGTTTTTTACACTTTTGGTCCAACGACTATAGTGGCACTGTCATGATTGATCCGTGACTTTCAAACCTTGCAATTTCAGTCCACGACTATTGTTTTTGTTGCAAAAATGGTCCTTCCGGCCAATTTTCAGTCAAAATCTCACCGGAGAAAAAATTCTCCATTTCAAGCAGGGATAAAATAGACATTTACATTGACCTTGATATCCCGGACCACTGTTGACCTCTTATTCTGACCAAAGTGTTAAAAAATCAAACAAAAAAAAAAAAAAAAAACAATTGCCAGAGACGAACCATAATCTGCTCTCATCTAATTCTCACCATAGTCATGACTGGAATTGCAAGGTTTGAAAGTCGCGATCAATCATGATAGTGTCACTATAGTCGTGGGACCAAAAGTGCAAAAAAAAACTCAAATATTGTGTATTTTGGTTAAGGAATTAAGATTTGAACGAATTTAAGTATTGTTTAATGTTATGAAGTATTTTTGTAGAGTTAATTCCAGCCATGGTCCTCCGACTGTTGTGATTTTTCAAAATTGGTCCTCATCTTTTAAGTGGGACGAAAAAGACCCTTGACTATCAAATTTGTTCTAGCATTAATCCTTCTATGAAGTTTCAGTTTATTAGGTGTTAGTGTAGGGGCTAAAATGGTCATTTCCTGCATTCTTCTTCCTCATGTCTAAGAGTATATGTATGTATTACACCCAGAATTGCAAAACGAAAACCCCATTGTTTCTCACCTAGCTTGTTCCAGTATGCATTATCACCTCTTTCCTCCATCTATATAAGCTCACCTCATATCTCTCATTCATTTACTACATTGTTCTTCAGATTCCAAAGTTCTTCACAACCTAGAAGAGAAAGAAAATAATGGCTTTTAGTTTCTCGCATCAAGTTTCCCAGAGACTTCATAGATAAAACTGTTGTCTTTGTTCAGTTCAGTAACACAAAAATGGCAACCGCGTTCTTTGACACGATGGAAACTTTGGGGAGGAGCAATGATCCAATACCAGTTTTGCATCCTCTCTCAAGACTTCTGGAGGGTGGTTGCACACATGCTGCAAATTATGAAGTATATAGACAAATTTGCAGTTCACCCCTTTCGAAAGTCTTATTTGTAGATCAGGCTGAAGCTATCCGAATCAAAGGATCGAGTATGTAATGTTTCGAAGGCTAATAAAGAAGAGGAAATGTGTTACAGACCTGCAAACTTGCCACGAACAGAACAGAAATAGGGGTAAAGGGGAAGAAGAAATAGGGGTGAAGAGGAAGAAGAAATAGATTTAGGGTTCAAGAGAAGAAGGGATTTAGGGTTTGATTGCTCAGCAATTCTGTAAAAACAAGCATAAAAAAGGAAAACAACATTCTCAAATAAATAAGAAGAAGTTAGGCTAAAAAACAAAGGAATCTTCAACAAACTCCACCATTCTCGCTTGGCATATGAGAAATGCTCTAAACGGCGTCGTCCATTCAACCGCTTCCAACTGCCACTTTGCAACGACGTCGTTCGGCTTATTAACTTCAACGGTCCCAACGGCTGCCATCAAACGCTGTCGTTTAAATAAGTGACCTGATTGCTTAATTCCGGCTCCAAACGACAGCGTTTTGGTCCCTCGACTTTCCTTCTTCACTTGGCTTTATAACCTGCAACTCCTGTAACACCCCAGATTTTTAAGACATTTTAAGCTTATATAATAGAGGTAATATCTCATTACATCCCAAAGTATATCATAAGTGTACGGGGTGCTATGCCACACCTGGGCTAGAGAACCCAGGTGCACAGGCTGTCTAACTAGTATCCATTGAAACATAATGCATAATATGGCGCGCAGGCCGAAAAGGGAAACTAATCTACTTCTACGTTCTAGTTCTAACGCGCTCCGGTGCTCTAGTCCTCTGTGCCTGAAAGCCAAATATATCTGTTCAGCGAGAGATGCTGGTAACCCACTCCAACGCGTTGAAATACAATACATATAGAGATATATATAGATATACGAAAACCATTTTGAGCATGAAGATATATCCTACGAACTCTAGCTTTAAAACCGGGAATGACTCGACAGATAAGGCCAGACACAAGCAACAGTTATAACGAGCATATGCAGTTCACAACAGATAAGGCAGATAAGGCAAAGCATAAACAATGATCATAACCCAACATGAACAATCCCCAATATAAATCCCATAGTCACATCCCCCAAGACACTCGTAATCACGACTCGTCCATGTCACAACACATAACACACTTTGTTGGCGCCACAGGACCAATCGCATGCCCATACATGAGGGTCAGCGCATATAGCTCTGACATGGCCCCGCAGCACCCTGCCCCGTATCGCAACACGGAGGGGTCGATCGCAACCGACCGATGAACCGCAGCTCATCATAGTGTTTGATCGCAACCAAACAGTGGACCGCAGCCCAAGAGAATGTCATCTGACCGCAGCCAGGAAAAAGGACGAACCGCAGCTCGTATAGAAACGTTTGATCGCACCCAAACGGTGGACCGCAGCCCAAGAGTATCAATCTGACCGCAGCCAGCTTCTGAACCGCAGCTCAGGATAACCAATTCGATCGCAACCGAATTGGGGTAACACACACACATAACACATAGCAAGCACATGCAACCCACATTACACATTAGGAAGGGGGAGAAAACGTATAACAAAACCTATGCGTGATCCATCACATACTAAGAATAGTCCTAAGGGATTCATACTTCTACCACCTAGGTCAACGGGGTACCAATTCAACTAGCATGCAATATAATAGGCTCATAAACCTACGAACGGTACCCGAAACATCAAACTAGACATAGGCACGATAAACGGAGTCCGTTGGGACACCACGGGGAACGGGGGAACATCAAACGGGGAAGCCGGGATCCCAAGGTGGGGGAATTTCCAGCGGGTAGCCGGTGGGTGGGGGGCCACCCGCCGGACTTTACTGTTCCGGGCAGCGGGTCGCCGGCGGGCAGCTGCCCGCCCGCCGGCCACCCGCTGCCGGGCGGTGTTTCACGGCCGTGGGTAGGTGGCGGGTCCCCTACCCCCCACTGACTCTTTTCACACACTTTACGCCCCGAGAACCGTTGTGGAACCCGAAATCATGCTTAGACACTTTACAACGCAATTAACGACAACACGTGGACAATTAACGAATCGAATACAAGAAACGAACGGCACATATCCTATCATGCTTTTCTAAATATAATCAACACCCAAACATGCGATTTCCCCACCCGATAATCCAAGA